TCTTTCTTTCTTTCTTTCTTTCTTTCTTTCTTTCTTTCTTTCTTTCTCTTCTCTTTCTTTCTTCCTTTCTCTTTCTTCTCTCTCTCTTTCTCTCTCTCTCTCTCTCTCCCTCTCTCTCTCTCTCTCTCTCTCTCTCTCTCTCTCTCATTCTCTCTATTATTTTTCTTTTTAAGGCAATTCTGTTGAAGAAATCCAGATAAGGCTTTGGAAACATTAAATAAATCTGGTCTAGGAATCTTTTCCAGTTGAGCTGAATAAACCAAAGCTGAGCTGTATTTGGGTTGGTTGGATTGTCTTGTCTGATTTCTGTAGCAATTTTAGAAAGCAAAGGGTTACAAGTCGCTTAAGAAATTCCTCCTCTAAACTCATTATTTATATGTGGAATTATTAACACTTCTATTTAATAAATGTCATTGTATCGCCAGGCATCCAAGTTCCAAACGATGGAGCTCTCGTGAACTTAAAGGTGTAAAAATTATTAGATGTTGGAATAAGTTGATGGGATTTGTTGTAGTCCCTTATGTTCTGTATGTTGGACAGGGGTGAGCTGCTACTGGTTCATACCCGTTTGGGAAAACTGGATGTTAATTTTACATCTGGTTCACTGAACCTGTAGTTGCAATGACTGCCTGGCCCCGCCTACCCCATCCTGCTCCTCCCGGGAGTCTCCATGCAGCCCATTTTGGATCCCAGGTAAGCACACGGCCTGTGTGGAGGCTCGGGAAGGCCGAAAACGAGCCCATTTCCTGTCTCCAGAGAGCATCTGGAGCCAGGGAGGGTGAAAACACCTCCCCACCTGTCATAATCATAACTGGACAGCAATCATTTTGCAAGTGATGGGTAATCACTTGATTTAAGAAGAAGACCTTCTAAAATGAACCTTGGAAAATTTAATTCACGAATTTGCCCTCTCTGACTACTCTTGTCTTCTCTGGTGAGGATATTTTAAGGAGGTGTTTTCTCCCCTCGTCTCTCTCCCCCATTTTCAATGGAACACTATTTGCATTACATTCAGAACCTAAGCTCTATTTAATCATCACTCTGAGATATAAATCATCTAGTGAAGCTACTTAACCACATCCTGTCAGCTTCAGGCATCCAAAGAACTTTGGTTGGTTAAAAATCAGGAGCAAACGTTTCCTGTCACGTCACTTCACATTGCAGGAGAGAAGATACACGAGCCAATATGGAGCAAGAGCATAATTTTATAGTTTAGTCTTGTGTCAAAATGAAGCCCATCGTAATGTGTCAGACTGTGGGTGAAGAATATTGCTTGCAGATATTTCATTACCTGCCTGGGTAACATTATCAGTGCTAGTTAGTGTGCGACTTGGTTAGATAG